ATGAGCAAAAAAAACAAAAGTCGTGAGTTTATGTAGTTGTGGATGAAGAAAAAAATTTAAATTTTCTTCTCATCGCTCTCGATCTCACATAGTGAATTTATAAATGTTTACATCGAAATGTGAGTGAAAATGTCGTTTTGGAATTTTTTCACGTAAAATGAAAATTAATTTTTTTTTCATGTGAGTAAAATAAGAAAAATTCATGAAAAAAAAAATTATCGAATTTTCTAAATAACGGAAAAGAAAAGAAAAATATTCACACAAAAAATTGAGATGAGAGCGTTGAGCTGATCGTGTGATGACTTTTCTTCATCAGTATTGAACGGATTTTTCACTCGTTTAGTCCATTTTCTTGTTTTGTAAATTTTCTCAAATTTAAAATTTCAATTTTGTCGGCACATTTGGAGACAATTGTGTTAATAATTTAAGTTTTTTGTAGCCCTAGACTTTGTCGATTATAAGAAATTGTTGGAAAACTTGAAAAAAATTTGTGAATTTTTTTTTTGTAAAGAAGAGAAAAAAAGTAATTTTTTGTGGATCAATATTTCCAATTGTTCACACTTACTATAAATAAATTTTAGTTTTTCTCACTTTTCACACTGCACTTTTGCAAAATGAAAATATGAAACTTTTTGACATGAAAATACTTGAAGGATTTCGTCATGATTTAGTTACAAAAAAGAAATAAATTTCATACTGATGAGAGCAAATCATTGAACATTTTTTTTTACTTAAACGTGTGTCAGTGGATCAGTTGTGCTATTTTTTAGTGAAGAAAAATTTATGAGAGAAGAAAAAAATAAGATTTTCTTCAAACACATTCAAAAAAATTTTTTCATATTTTTTTTATGTTGTTGTTGTTTTGTGAATATTAATTTGTGGAATCACCGAGATTTTTTGTTGGTGCACACTCAGCGCATTGGTGTTTGATAATTTATTGGTTGACATATTCTAAAAGCAGATCTTGCTGCTGATTAAAAATAATTTAGAATTGCAAAAAAAATATTCAACTTTAAAGTCGAAAAGGTGAAGATAAATTTTTGGAGAAACGAGGCAATTTATGTGTCAAAAAATGCGAAGAAAATTTTTATTTCAGGCACATTAAATTAAAATTTTCTCTTTCATTTCGTCTAAATTATAAAATTTCCTTCTACTTTTATTTCGAAAGAAAAACATTTATTTTAAGTTCAATGCCGCAATTAAAATAAATTTATTGGTGCATTAAGAACTGTAACAACTGCTGTTATTTATTACAAGTCATACAATGTACAGGCTGTTAAGTTATTAAGCTGTAGATTTTCATTGATAAATTTAATTAAGATTGCTTAAGTTCGTTGCTAGTCAAAATCAATTGTTGGAGTCAGTGAAAATATTTTAAAACAAATAGTTGACGTGAGATTAGTTTTGGATGTCTTCAAATCTTGATTAAAATCGAAACTTGGTTGCTTTTTATCATTCTAAGTTGTGGATTCCTAGTTTTTTATTTTCTTAGAACACAAAATACCAGAACCTGACTCATTTTACATCAACATAATTGTTTTTGAATCTAAAATCCTCTAAAATCAAAACAAATAAATCACAATTTTATTCCTAGATTTCAGTTTGTTCTGTTCTGCACGTTCGCCACTCTCACACATATTTTACTTAAGGACTCTTGAAAAATAGTTAAAAACATTTTAATGCATTTTTTATATTCTCGAATTCGATTAAAAATTCCCATTATTTGAATCTCGAAGAATATTTATTTAGGTCATTGATTTTTTTTTTCAGCTTGACTTATGCATTATGTGCGCGAAAACCTATAAATACTTGAGTTTCCTGAAGACAGTCACAAACCAAATCATAAATGTCTATTTTATTAGAATATTAATTGCCAGAGATATTAATGTTGATATGTTGGTATTGCATTAAATCATTGATATGATAGAATCAAACTTTCAAATACAGCTTCAAGTTTATTTAAACTTCAATTTGAATAATGTCAACACATAATCTACAAAAAGGTCCAATTTTTCATCCTCAAAGTTCTCGTTTCTTTCTTTGATGAACAAAAATCAACATTTTAAGCAACAAAAAACGTTTTGAAATTTATTGCAATCACATAATAAGAATGATTTATTTAAAATACACAAAATTTATCTCGCAAAAGACTTTGTGTTGAAAATTTTCAAATACTTTACATTAAAAATCAAGTCTGAGTCATCAGATTTTCTTTTAAGAATTTATAAATATTTGAAATTTTTCCTTCTCATTTTCTCGTACAATCCTAATGTATTTTTATTATAGAAAGAGAATTGAATGTAAGTAAACTTGAGTTCCTTCAGGGGTCGTTCAATTATGACGTCCGAAATCCAAAAAAGAACAATAGATTTCCAGGAGTTTCTATTGTTCTTCTGTTGCCTCCTGGATGTCATAAGTGACAGCGCTTTTTGAAATTAAAACTTAGCAGATTTATAAGTTTTGAAAATTTTCAAACATTAATTAAGTAAATCCAAAAATGTCAATTAAATTTTATCAAACCCAAGCAGTTTCAACCGCTTTAAAAGTGAGCAAATTGCTTGCTCGTGCTGCACAAAAAACAAAAAATATCAAAATGAATGAAAAATCACAATTTTCCCACAGAATTAGTGAATCAAAAGATTTTTCACTGCAGTAATAAAGTGAGTGAGAGTTGTTGAGCCCACACAGCAGTAAGAGAAAATTTGAAGAATGTTCATTTGAGCGTGATATGTGTATAAGACAATATTACTTACAATTAGCAAAGTGAAATATACTTTTTTGTTAAAAATATAAGAAAAGAAACTGAATTTTTTGGAATAGCCGCAAGCAATACAGCCGATTGGAGTTTATTGGTATGTAAAGCAAAGATGTTGATGAAGTAATTTTTCGAAATATAGCCGGTGAGGAAACAAGAGAAGAATTTCGTACGTAGTCAATTGTTGAAAAGATTGTTTTATAGTAAATACCCAAAAGTCGAGAAAAAAACATCTGCGAATCCTTCATTCACGTGAAACCCAAGATAAATTTTCAAACTCAAACGTTTCGAAAATGTCTTCAATTTATCTCTATTCTCTTATCTACTTCAAACTGTCTTAAGCGTGTGGTGAGAAAGAAGAGGCTGCTGGTTTTTTCTTTTATTTCAAACTACACGAGTGGACTGAACTCGGATGAAATTTAAACTGTGTAAATTATGATTTGCTGTCTACTGTTCGCTCTGTTTTGTATAAATTATTATTTGTTTCTATTCTGCTTATCTTTTGAGACAGACTACAAATTTTAACTTAACTTCACAGTCGATAAAAGGCTGATCTACAATCCATTAACAAAGTAAAAGCATCAAATCATTATCAAATTAAACAGTTCATTTTTCTATCAAGCAGATCAAAAAAATTTTTTAATGAAGCTGAAAACCTTGCAAATTTAATTTCCTTTCCCATTTAATTGATTATATGGAAAGATTTTTGCCAGAAATGAAATTTTTGTTCAATATTTTGAAGCTTTTTTCGCAAAAAAAAAAAACATTAAACTCTCGAAAACAGGGTTGCAATTTGTGATGACATGTCAAAAAAATATTTCCTGCGACACATAAAATTATGTCACACATATAAATTTTTCATTCTTAATGTGCTTAAATGTGTCTTAAACGTGTCTTTTTAATCCTGCATGTATCATCATAATATTATTATATAAATTTGTTTCTTATATTTTCTTACTTACTCTTTTCTGTTAAATGACAAATTTACTATTTTAATTCACTCTGTTCTTTTGTTTAATTAATTATTTTTCAGCTTCACTTTACGTGACTAATATTTTGTTATAATCCAAATAGGGCAATCAACTTTAAATTTTGATTACTTGCTATAAAATTTGTATAATTTTGAATCTCTACAATTATCAACGTAATTTGAATTTCAATTATCGTTATTTGTTCTGATTTAATTCCTTTCATTTTTGTGATTAATTAATAAATTGAATATTAAAATTAAATAGAATGTTTAATTTTAAACAATATGTGACACATGAATATGTTTGACAGGAAATATGTTTGACATATCGCAGAAAAAATGTGTGAACACGTAAAATGTGTGACATAATTTCATGTGTCACACATAAAATATGTCACATATATGCGCATATTCTATAAAACATAATATGGGCAATTCCACGGATTGATTTTTTCAAAAATTTCGTGTTTGAGATCATTTTTCTCTTAATTAGGCAATCTAGACAGTCCAACGACTGTGCATACTTATGTAAAACGCCGAGTTCTATCTTCTGGATGTTACTGCTTCTTTCTATATGCATTAATTAAGCAAATATTTGATTTTTCGCGAGCGTTGCACTATTTCAAAATATGGAATTCTGATTTTAAAGTTAGTTTTTTTTACCTTTTAAATATCTAGACAAATATTGAATGTTTTTTTCCTGTACAACCTGAATTGCTTTATGATTCTGTAAAGTCTTTGTAGCCGTTAAGTCACTTATTAATCAGATAAATAGAATTTTGTAAAACATGTATTGAAATAGTGCAACGAAAAGCGTCTCCTCAAAATTTTAGTAAAATTTGAACTTTTAAAATACGTTATAGTTAATTCAAGAAAATTTAAGGTGATTGTTTACGATTTTTGAGTGTGAGAAAGATTAGGAAAAAAAAGTGTTAAAAGATAACTAAATAAAGACGAAAACAAGTAAATTTGTAAGTTTATGGTTTTGAGCAAGATTTATAAAATATGTAGATTAATCGAATTTGTTTGTTTCTCAAGTTTTTATTATTCCAAAATCTAACGGTTTTTTGAAATTCAAATCTACAAGTAGAAAAAGAATTACAATTTGCTTTTTCTGAAATTCCACTCACCTGTGGAATTGCCCATATGTTTTTGCAACCCTGCTCGAAAATATGCAAGAATTAATCCGTGTGGATCTTTAGGTCGCTTAAAAACCTTAATCACCAACATTTATTCAAACTTATACTGTAATGTCACTTACTGTCTGTTTTTCTTCTGATCTTTTGTCTAAACTTATCATTTTATTAATTAATTGTAAAAGAAAAATCATTAAAAATCTCCAAAATTTCCCTTCTTACCGTCAATAATTTAATTATGTCTGAAAAAATATTTCCTTAAAGCTGAAAATTGAGAATAGTTTACGATTGTTGCTAAATCAATATTGTTTTCAATGTCCTTGCGTCGTAGAATGTGAAGATGATTGTTATCGATCAATACATTGAAGTCAATATCGTTCTTTTTCATGGTTTCAATTTGAGCGAATGTCGGATGATTGTATTCTAGATTTGAGAATGTTGGAATTAAGTAACAAGGCGGTCCAATTGAAAATTCACCGTCATTATCCCATGGAAACATTCCTTGTCCAAGCTTATTTTCTATAACATATTCAGACATATCGATACAGCCTTTCCGGCGTATTATTTTCAATTGATAGACATCTTCTTCTTCCTCATACTTAACTGCTGTTGCATATGTTGTGTAGTTTGAAATTTTCTTGAGGAAATGTTCAATATGACTGATGTCAAAGCTTCTTTTGTTATCAATTGGAACGATTCCATAAAGACGACCTCGAAAACAATATTTTGGATATTTCATGAAATAACTGAAGAGGTATCGAATATTTGACTTCGGGCAAGTTCCGTTTGTTCCATAGTCGATGAAAAATAATCGAATGAACTTCTTTTCCCCATTATATTTATGGGTGATTCGTGCACGGAACCACTTCTTAAATTCATCAACAAAAGCAGCAACAATTAGTCCTTCTTGAAAATTATTATCAGCTATCATTAATTCACGTTTCTTTAATTTGTCGTAATCATCGTTGAGTCTCGTATGAAGTTTATCAAAGTTTTCGTACCTTTCATCTCCAATTACAAATTGAAACCAGAAATGAGCTGGATCAAAAATCTCCGAAATGTACACCAATTTATCCTCAAAGTCCTTTTCTATGTTTTGTAATGGAACTGCCGCTGTTGGATCTCGATTAATTGAAGGCAGATGAGAAAAGAAAATTTCATCGTCTATTGGCAGTGATGATATGAATTTGTCTATAGAATTCATCGATTCATTGTCATCGTCTTTCAGATTTTCCACATCTTCTGGATCTATCTTGACAGATTCATCGCATGAGGATAAGCCATCCAGTGAACCGAAATTAGAATTGGAAGTTCCTGGCATTGAGTCATTATCATCAAAGTCATTTTTAATGTCGGGAAATCGTTGTTCAACGTTTTTCTGGAACTCATTTTCAAAATTTTCAGCAGTATCGGAATCTGAAAGCACTTGATTGCCTGTGTAGTCTTTTTCTGCTTCTGGAAGTTTCACTGAATCCTGGACTTCCTTATACGATGAATCAGATGATGAATGATCCTGAGATAGAGAGAAATTAATTACAGTTCAGTTGAATTAATCAACTTACATCAAATAATAGCGATTCATTGTCTTCATTGATTGTTGGCAATGATTTACAGCTATTTCTCCAGAAAACATCATCTTCATGTTGACTCTCAAAATTACTGTACTTCTTATTGCTTTTGTTCATTTTTATTCAGTTCTGGATCTTTAATGTCCTTTAAAAAGCTATAGACACAAAATTTATGAAAATCATCAAACATGTATGTATTATTAATTACTTCAGACTTAACGATTGCTTACCAACTGTTGAATTAGTCACTAATGTGGTTAAACCATTAATAAAGAATAATTTTTATTAAATTTTGAGTGTTCACAGATTCTTTTCTCAGAAATTTGTTTACGTTTGAATTCAAATTCAAAATTTCAATTGCAAAAATATTAATATTTTTATACCTCAATCTAGAAATCCCTAAAATGCAGCTACCCTAATATGCAGATAGTACTGCCAAGATGCAGATGGTACTGCTAAAGTGCAGATGAAATTTATATTCCCTAAAATGCAGATGAAATGCTGTTGCTTTAAAAAAGGTATAATGCAGATGATTTTTATCGTATAAAGTGCAGATAAGATGCTGCCCAAATGTAGATCGTATAATTTTATTAAAATAAAGATGAAATGCTGTTATAATGTAGATAATTTTCTTAATTATCTCCGAAACCACAATAGAAACAAATTTCAAAGTTATTATATCTTGTAAAAAACAAAAATTGCTTTCTTTTGACATAGAACTTACTTCCTAAAGATAAGGCGTTATGTCAGAAAATCAATTTAATTAAGCGTCACTCACGAATTTTTTGAATTTTGTTAAAACTTTGTCAGCTTTCATTGATATATCTACAAATGTATTTTTTAAGTTCACACCATTTTCACGTGTGAATCTATTGGTTTTGTTCAGATGGAAACATCAGTTTTTCGCATTTTGTGAGAAAACGGAGCAAAATTGGCTGTAAAAGGTCGTTGAAGAAAAGTTTGTGCTTGAAATTTTACATCATTTGCAAAACTCATATTTCAAATTGATTGAGGCATTGCTGAGAAAATCGCAAAATACGCTTTCTGTAAGCAAACAAGCAAGCAAGCAAGTTTATCAGCAAGAAATCTCAATAACGAGACATCGTAGAGACTTCTAGTTTTTTACATTTGATCCGTGCTGCTCTATAGAATAGCTGTATTGTTTTTGAGCAAGGTAGGAACAGCCGTTGCTTCAGAAAAAGCAAAAAACTTTCCTTTCTTACGAATTTTTTAAAACAAAAGTTTACTGTGATTTTTATAAAATTAAACTTTGGATGAAAAATCTTTTTAAAAAACTTTAAAGAATGCTCGTTAAGCTTTAAACCTTCAAACATATGCTCAGCACAGCTCAGCTGGTTTGCTAGCTTAATACCTTCAAACTTATGCTGAGCGAAGATCAGTTTACTCGCCAAACTTTATACCTTCAAACTTATGCTGAGCAAATCTTGGTCTATCCATAAGACTTTTTTGATGGACGGTGCGAATATATCCGCATTGGGTTTCTACCCGATACACTAGTTTTGTTATTAAAAAAGTTACAGGAAAACAAAAATGCATTTTTGAATACATTGCAAACTTTATGACTTTAAATTACTTTGCTGCACGAAATTTTGATGTAATTGGCATGGAAGGGATTTAAATCATTTTACCCAAGTGATTTATTTTTGATTTATGATTTAAATCATTTTGAAGAAAAAAAGTCATCTAATATGATGTATTTTAATAAAATTATACGATCTACATTTGGGCAGCATCTTATCTGCATTTTATACGATAAAAATCATCTGCATTATACCTTTTTTAAAGCAACAGCATTCCATCTGCATTTTAGGGAAAATAAATTTCACCTGCACTTTAGCAGTACCATCTGCATCTTGGCAGTACTATCTGCATTTTAGGGATTTTTAGATTGAGGTTTTTACCTCTTTTAATTTCAAGTTTTTATACCGCTTTTAATTTCTAATTGTTCGTTACACAATTAAATCGTCAAATTTTAAAGATATCTTTAGAAATAAACCAGAAATAAACTCACATCACGGAGAGAACATAATTTACATCATATTTTAATCATCTTATAATTTAATTGTATTTCTTCACAATATAAAGACTATAGGAAGTTTTCAGAAAATAATAAAATCAAATTAAATTAAGAAAAACGTGATAAAATCAATTTCAAAGTTTTTCAACTTGACGTCACGCAAATAATTGCAAAATGACAAATCAAAAATTAAATCTTTTAATCGATTAATTTGATTTCGTTTGACAGACGTTTGTTTTTAGAGAAAAAATATTGAAAATTCATTAGGGAAACTTTTCTTCTTTACGTTTAATCAACATATGCTCAATTTAATTTGTATGATAGATTTGACACGATAATTGAACTAAACTTCATTATTGACATTTTATTTACATAAGACTTAAATAAACTAATCAGACCAATTAAAAAATTCCATTCTATTTTTTCGAATTCTAAAAACAATCAAATCCAGTTCAAAATAAAATTAAACAAAAGAAAAAGAAATTTTTATATTTTTTTCTAACAATTAAAAAGGATGTTTATATGAAACGAATCTAATAACAATTGAATATAAAAGCACATGAGTGAATTAAATATCGATCACATGATTGTGAGCTTGTTTATTGATTTTTAATTCTTATTTTTAATTTACCATGTGTATCGAATGAAAGTTTAAAATACTCTCGTGTTTACGTTAAGGTGATTGAAAAATGAAAGATTGAATTTAAAAAGTCTGTAGCTAGGCAAAATGTAAATTTTGAAGTGAACCGAATTGAAGAATTTAAAGAATTTACTCATCAGCATTTAGTCTTTTGCAAGAAGACGTCTAAGAAAGAGGAATGTTCTTTGTAATGAACATTTTAAGGAAGAACCACTGTAAATGAAAATCAAAACAAAGAAAATACGTGACAAAGTTTTATGAGGCAACTCACATAAAATGATTTTTATGCAGTCAAATAATTTAAAAATGTTTTGAAATCTGCAAATGAACAAGCATTTTACGATTCCCGCTCGTTTTCATATAAACATGATGATATTTTAAATCTCATAAAAGTCACAATTCCATGTTGAAATATTTCCATCTCAGTCTTTCCTCAATCATTCGACTAAATGAATGAAGATCGTAAAACAACGTTGTGTGTAGAGCATCAAGTAAACATAAATGAATACAACAAGTGGTGCTGAAGTGAACAATTATTCATTTATGATTGAAAAAGAATTTTTTACGACCTTTCAATCACTTTAAAATGATTTAAAGGAATGAGAGGAAAGTAAATAAATATCAAAGGGACTTTACGATTTGAAAAATCAATTTTCATGATTGAAATACATTAAAAAGATTTTTTTTATGGAAATAGCCACTCGTGTAGAACTTGAAAAAGTATTAAATTTTTGACTTGTCTATAAGATCTGTTCAATTTTATGAAAATACATTGTTTAAAATTGCTCAGTGCAATTAAGTTTTTTAAATTTTTTGCTGAACTTGAAATGAATTATTTGGATTGAGTGTTTTTGAATGACAAGCTATCCCTGCCCCAAAGAAAAAAAATTTACAATTTATCTCAAGCATGATACCACGACTTAATAAACTCATAATTGCTTTTAATTAAGATCTTCACCTACGTTCGATAATTTTTCTTAATTTTCTACCTAATTACACATTAGTGACATTGTTGAATTTATATCTTCACCCTTTCTATACTTCCAAGTCTTTGATAAATTAAAATAAAGCTTAAAATTTTTTCGTATTTGTTTATTGAATTCTTACTTAAGTATTTTGCAAGCTAATAAGAAACCTTTAAAACAAATTTTAAACCAAATCTTGAAATAATTTACAAAGTCTTCGAAATTATACAACAGCCATGATCTAATATTCATATTGCATATGACAATCACACTTAAAGTAATATTTTTTATTACAATCTTTACATTGTAATTTATAAATTATGACTCCTTCACGATGATAAAATTCAAAATTATTATTTAAATTGTTTTAAAGTTGAAATAACAGTCAAAATATTGATTGACGATTGAATGAAGTGAAAGAAAATGAATTGTAGGAATGGGAATAGAATTTATGACGTTTGGAAGCAGCACGTGTGGAAATTGGATGAATATATTTGGAACTTTTCTCTTAAAAAGATTTTATTTTTTTGAAAAAATTGCACCTCCCTTGATGTCTGTGGCTATAAAATTTTATTTGTGTTCCTTATTATTTCGTTTGATTTATTTAAACATTTGAATCATTTACATTCAATAAAAACAAATAAAGCAAATTAAATAAATATACTGCATGTGTACATAAATTAATTCACAGTCGTGTTCATATGGCACAAAATATTGTGCATATTAAGTTAAATAGAAATGAATTTCAAGTGTCTTAATGCATTTTTCTACTAGTACGATAAATGAAATTAATTTTTATGCATAACAAGAGCCTCATCGGTTCATTAACAAATGATGAGTTAATATAACTCATTCACTTCTCATTGCTGTCATCGTTGCTTTCTTTCATGCATAAAATTAAATACTAATAAATTTCAATAAGATAAAATGACACTAAAGATTGATCGAAGAAGCGCACATCGTTAATTTTGGATTTTAATATTTTTTCTAAATCTACAGTAGTCTTTTGTTTTTATTTTTAGTCTGATTTCAAATTTCAAGCAAAGAACATCTCTCAAATTAACTTTAATTTAATTATTAGACATCTATTATTGCAATTTATAGACAGGAAACGCTGTAATTGAATCAACTATACCAGATAAAAGATTTGCAATCTCTTTAAAAATGAATTCTTTCCAAAACAATTAGAAAGTTTTTTCCTCGCCGGACAAAATGAAGACAAAACTTCTCATTATCTTATTATTTGAATATAAAAGTCTTACTGGTGGATTTGGCAAAATAATGTAGTAATTATTTTTCTTTTGAAGATCTTCTATTGTTTCTTTCTATCCTGATTGATTCAACAAAAGATTTATTGTTGTTTATTTCAATTTTTTTTCTTTTCAGAATCACAAAAATTCCTTTCAAGTTTTTTGAATCAAAGAGAAACATTATAATAAATAATGGATAAAAGTAGTAGTATTTGATAGGAGAAGGACCAAGACTTTTAAGCCACAATAATTTTATTTTGTTTGATTAATGAAAAAATGATATTTACTGGTAACAATGCAAAACGACGTTACCAAAAAGACAATGGACAGAGTAACAGTCAGAGAAGGAAAAACACAAATTCTGAAGTAAGCTTTTTAACAATCCGACATTGATTGCTGTAAAATAATTTCATTAAAAACTTTTAGGGACGTAACAGAATTCCATCAGCACAAAGAATGCCAAGAGAGAATTCAAGAGATTCAATATGCAGCAGTTCATACTTACTTTCCCATTCCTCATCACTATCACCATCAGCTTCGTCTAATTACTATTCTACACCAAGGTCGAGTAATAGTTCATCTTATATGACAATTCCTGAATTAGAAGAACCGAAACATGATTTTTATGTGCAAAAAACCCGAGCGAGGGATATCACAAAACGCCGAGGTGCTATTAAACTCATCCAGCGACTCACGTAAGAATTGTTTTTTTTTAATGTTATGTTATATAATTTGTTGTGGAAAATTTTCTGAATTTTAAGGATTTATTGAATGAAAATGCTGCATGATTTATGCCACATAAAATATTTTCCAACACTTGCTGGCTTCTGATTTTATATTTTATTAATTAATTTTTTTCTGCAATATCAAATTGTATCAAATTTCTTTCAATAGAATCAACGAAGTTAATGGACACAAATTTATATCAAAATTTTTCCGTCAACCCACATTTTGTGCCTATTGCAAAGAGTTTCTCTGGGGGTTTAATAAGGTTTGAATACTTTTTTTTATCACTTTTTGAGTCAAATTTTATTATCAAATTTATTTAATTAATTTCTACTTTTATATTCATCAAACGCTTCTAATGATGATCTTCATCTTCTAACAGCAAGGATATCAGTGCAAAAGTGAGTATTCTCATCGCATTATTTACTACAAATATCTCCTGTCACTTATAATTTACGTTAGTGTCACGCCAAAATCTATATGATTCATAAAGTTGAATGTTCTTCTTGTGCTTTTGTGACTCAGATCTGTTGACTTCCACACACAATGTAGATGAAGTATGTTATTTATATCATTTGTTTTCTTCATAATTAAGTCGGATAAGTCGCGAAATAAAGTGAAATTTATTAGAACATAAAGTTGGGAAAAAAATGGGATTAAATCAATTTGAGTATAAATTATTGGATGGTGTTTTGTAAGTTTGTAGTCGTTTATCATAGATTTATAAGATTCACAATTTATGATTGAATCTTCAATCTTCAAGCCTTCAATCTTTAACACATCAAATTTCATTTGAATTCAGTCTTAATTGTTATTAAGTCCGTGATTCAAATGAGTAAGGTTTCACTTAATTCCTTTATTAAATCGCATTATTATTATTGAGTCCAACAGCTAAAATGAAATCATCAAGGAAACCATCACTTCTTGGATCGCTACATTGTTCATTCAAATCACACTGTGAATTTTTAAAAAGTTTTGAAATTTTCAATCAGCTTGAGATCTTATTTTTCCTCAAACATTTCAAGGTTGTGATAATTCAATGTCAGTATCAGAAGTAAGAGAAACTTTTCATTTCATGTATTTTTAAATTTGTAATCGATCTTGGATGAATATTTTTAGAAAGTTTATTTTCATAATTTCAAGAAATGACCTGTTGGAATGTTTTGATTGAATGGCGATTGTTGAATAGATGTTGCGCGATATTTGTAGATATTGATTTTTGTTATTTGAATGCTAATTGAAAGTGGGAAGTCATCGAGTTTTAGTTTGAGTTTCATCTTCAATTTAAAAAATGCTAATATTGATTCCAAAAGATCGAAAGGTTCCAAAATAAGCTGAATTAGTATAATATTGAACTGATATAAGCTAGCTAGGGTTGAATACAAAATTAAAAAGATTAAATTCATCAAAGCCAAGCATCAAAGAAATCCTTTCTTGCGTGTGGAAGTCATTAAGCCTAAATTTAAGTCTGTCAAAAATTTTGATACGATCGAAAAAATTATTCAACATTTTTTTGAGTGCGAAAAGAGAATCATAAATTATTTTTGCTTGAATTCCTCCCAATCTCATTCTATAATCTTATTAAAAAAAATCCTCAAATAATAATAATTCAAGTTTTATCATCATCTCCTTTCTGTGGTCACTTCCAAGTCTATTTTTCTTTTCATTTGATAATTTATGACTTGTACGAATTTCCATAAAAATGTCACTTCTTAAGCTCTATCAGAATGAGCTAAAATTATTTTTTCAATTTTTTACTCTCGATAATGGAAAAGAACAAGCAAATATATTCAATCGAAATCGAAAACTTAACGAAGCTCTTAAAATAATTAAGAAAAAAATTAATGTCTGGCCAGAAGCAAAAAGAAAAAAGCCGCATCTTTCAATTTTGTGACCAATATTTTTAATGTTGTTAATAATTTTTCAGACATTTTTCGTCTCGCTCATTTTTTCCTCAATTTTCATAATTTTTTTCATATTATTTTTAGCATGTCAAACGGCAGTACATAAAAAGTGTCATGATAAATTACTGGGAACATGTTCAGAATCTAGTTTTAACTCTCAAAGTACAATTGTGAGTACATGGATGCAATATATCTTGTCTTTTATTTAAAATAATTAATTAATAGCAGTGCCATAAACAGTGCAGTCTGTAAATCATCAAGAGAAATGTGAAAAATATTAATTTTTATTATTTTTATTATTGCAGTATTTAAGGGAACGATTTAAAGTTGATTTGCCTCATCGATTTAAGGTGTATACATTTATGAGTCCAACGTTTTGTGATCATTGTGGTGAGTAAAGCCTCAATTTAATTAGAGACACCAAGATCATGTTCAAACAACATTTGTAATACCCCAACGACTGCAAACAAGAACTCATTTTCGGAAATAGGTACTTCATTTTCAAACTTGGTTTGAATTTAAAATTTCCATTGAAAATATTTGTTTACATTTCTTAGTCTTTGTTGAATTTATAAAATTTCATTTTTTTTAAAATGGTCAGAAATTGTATAATTACTGGTTGTAAAGGAAAGAAAATCAATAAAATACCTTTGTTTGAACTTCCAAAAAGCTCTGTGCATAAAGATAAGTGGATTGCATTTCTTAAATTGCATAATATTGAATATTGCTGTGAAAAAAATATTTCTTGTGTATTCTTGAATTTATTTATAGACAACTTAATTGATTTACCTTATGTTCTGATCCTTCCTTTAACCAGAAATTCATCAATACAGTAATTGCACAAATTGAAGTCGATTTTGAACATTGTCAAGATATAATTGATAAATTATTAAAAGTTTTTGTTGAATTTAGAGTAAAATTACAATTTCAAAGTCGATTGGTACATAAATGGAATAATTTTGCTTCAAAAAATATCTAAAATAAATATTATTTTATTAATTCTCTAACGATCATTTATTTTTTAAAAAATTTGATAGTTCGAAACAGTTCGAAATTTTTCGAATTTCAGTTTGAATTTTTCGAATTTAACTGAAGTTTTCTTTGTTTGCAGTCGTTGGGTAATACCTTAAAACTAAACTCAAATCATAAAGTCACAACATCCCTGAATGAAAATGTTTCACATCCCAATATTAATCGCTAATTGACTGCTACGAAAATCAAAAATATCTCATTTCTCATTCTCCATCTGAAAACATGTCTACTCAGATCATTTTCGGTTTCTCATCTTCATTATGATCATCATTAGACTAGATTTTCATTTTCTTCTCTTTCTCTTTTTTTCACTCATAAGGTTCACTGCTGTATGGATTTTTTCGACAAGGCTTGAAATGTGAAGGTAAGCTTTGATTTTTTTGAAAAAATAGAGTGAATGTTTGATTGCATGAATGTGATGAGTTACAATAGAAAAGGTAATTCCTGTGAGAAATTAAAATAATTTTTATATCAAATTATCGAGATGAGAAAAAAGGAAAGCGCATAAACATTTTTATTAAATAACATCATGACATATATCTATATGACCATATCATACATCCAAACAATTTTATAAATCTTCAAAACCCTTCAGGCCAGGTAAATTCAAAGAATCGTTCAAAACATGCTCGAAAAATAGGAACAGTAACTTGATGGCGATTTAAGAAATTTTGATTATTAATAAAGTTCGGATTGCACATTTGAGTGTTTAAAATTTGCAATATTCTTTGAATTATTGCTGGTACTGGTTGATCAACAAACATAAAATAAACTGTAGTATCTTGATTGACATTGACTACTTTGAATGCTAAATCTGGAATTTTTACTGCAAATGGATTGTTATTCAAAAAGTTATTAGTATAAACATTTAAACCACCAGTGAGAATTCTTGCATTTGAATGCATTTGTCTAACATTGAATCGAACCATATTTTCAAGAGAACTCCATCGTCCTGAATTGAAATTTGAGGTCATGGGAACCATATTAAAGTACAAATTTGTTGCTTTACGGAGCAAATCAAATTCGTAGTCAGCATACGGAGAAAGATGTCCACGATCAAAATCTCTGGTTGAATATAAATTTCTTATACTGTTAGTTTGAAAATTATTTGAAGTAATGCGGATATCATCCTCGTTCCCGTCAAACCATCCATTTATTATCGGATACCTAAATAAGCCACCTGCTGGTCTTACTTCTAATCCCCAAAAAAAACTTTGGACATATAAAACAGACGAATGGGCATTATGAAAACATGAAATATACAATGCAATGAACCTTTGTTCTTGATTATTTTGCACGTATAAGCCGGTTTGATAAATTGCAGTATTTTGTCCACAGTTACTTGTTGTTCTCCTAACGACAATTGGTCTGTTTGGACTATTTGGAATTCTTTCACAGCCTAAAGCTGATGTTTCTCTAAAATGTTCAGTTAAAGTGTAGTAAAACCATCCACGTCTACATGTTAAAATAAATTGCTGCCTTGTTGTTCTTACAAATCTATTTCCATGTCCACAATCTGCTCTAACTATAAATCCTTCTGGGACCAACAAAGAATTATCTTGATTTGGAGTCAACACATCAAAGCCATTGTTTAAAAAAATTGGCTCATTTTTTCTAAGCGGTCCGAAATTTAAGCTACACCCTACATTAAAATAAAAGTTTGATATTAAATTAAATAAAACATGAATTAAATTTAAAGATTGTGTCATTTCCAGTAGTTAACTAGAAGTAGAAGATTCTTACTTACCGCTGTGTTGACCATTCTTATTATTAATATTCATATTAGTAATTAGCATATTATTTGCCGGAGTTTGTAAAACTGAAAAAAAATTGATGTTCATTGAAAAAACTTATTAAAATAAATTATTAAAATTTTACGTGGTACTATTTGATATAATACAGCATTTGGAGCTTGTGATTTTGTACCAGCTGATGAAATAATTGATGTGCCTGAAAATGAAATTATCAAATCAAATTTCACCATATTATTAAAATTCTACGAAAAAAAAATTTAATTCATTTGAATATAAAACTTACGTCTAGTATTATCTTGTATTGTGCCATGGGTCTGATAAGAATAATCACGATTATTGAATAAAGTATTCGATGGCATTTGATTTTTATTGTTAAATGAGCTTGAGACTAGAAAGATAAATTCTTATTAAATTTTAAACTGAATAAATTTTAAAATAATAATTTTAAAGCTATTGAATTTATTATAATTACTACTTACATTGTGGATTTTGAATATTCCTATTTGGCATCATTTGCTGAATTGGTTGAATCCTTTGGGAAGATGACAAAGAAAATGGATTGTTTAAGCTTGATGTGGATAGTCTCGTATTTAATCCATAACTATTTGGATTAGTAGCTTGATAATTCAAAGATGGTGATGAACTCGCATGATTCAAGTAGCTTCCAAATGGCTGAATATTCTGAGGAAACACTGATTGTCCATACTGAATAGGGCCTTGTGAATTTTAAATAGAAAAAAAATATTATATTTTTTAAAATATTTGATATTTAAATATTTGAAATTTTAACAATAAAATAAGGCTATCACTGGAAATTACCTTGTGAATATTGTGAATTGCAAAAAGTTGCGAAGAGAAGTATGCAAAAATATTTAATTCTGTACATTTTTAAACACAATTGTCAGAAATGTCACAAATTAATAAATCATCACATTTCGAATCATACCTTTTTTATACCAAAAATCTCTTTTTTTTATTTGAGATTTCCTGCTCTCATAGCAAGAAGATTCTATAAAGTGCTAGATTTTAAAAAATTTATTAAAAACAATTTTTCTATGATTTTCTGGAATATTTTTCATTTTAACATGTTTATTGTATCTTTAAAAATCCTTTATTTCATAATTATGAATTGTACTAAAGCCTTATCGATTGATTTGAGATTCTGATCATGAAAATAAAAACATAAATCCCTAAAATCAAAATAAATTTAAAGTTCTACACAAGGCTCTCGCAGATTATAATCTTTAGATAATCATCTCAACTATGTAAAGATTATAATCTTCGTTTTTAAAAGATTATAATCTGCCGGAGTCTTGGTTCTACAGGAATATTCTGTAGAATCTCCCTAAATCGGCCTTAATCTCACTTGAAACTAAGAGAACAAATTTATTGACATCAACAACTTTATCAAATTTCTAAGAAATTTAAAACTGAAATTGATTACTGCTCATAACATTTCGTTATATTGTTAGCGTTACAAGGCTCCGACAGTTAATAATCTTTCAAAAATGAAAATTTTAATTCTAGTTTGGGATTATTTAAAGATTATAATTTGCTGGAGCTTTCGATGTTGAGTCGTCCAAGAATTGTTGAATTGATTTCTTAATTGTCACTTTAACATAAATTTGTTTAAGATCAATTCAACGGTTTTTAAAAAATTCAAACGTTTTCTACTCATTTTACTTCAAAACTTGACCAAAAGATGTCGCTTGAACTCAAACTTGTGGATTTTATTCATTCAAAAACGCCTTCTTATTTAACAGAAATAATTAAAGCAAGTTTATATTTCTCGAAATATTTAAAATTATTGTCTATGAAATATTGTGAGTCTCAATCTTCCGCATCTAAGCAACTGTCACTTCAGTAAAGTTTAATAGTCTTTGCTTGAGTTCAATGAATTTAGCAAAATGTTAATAACTTTTTCATTATGATTATTGTGTGTAAAATGTAATGCGAAATTCTCTTGAAGCGTGTAAGCGAAATGAAAAGAAAAATCATATTTTGCAGGATGAGATGAGGCATTACTTACAGCACAAAGACTATAATATTGCATAAGGAAGAGAACTTGAGAGACTTTTAATGCAAATATTCCACAAAAGGAGACCGTTATGAGCTGATATTTGATTTCATCGACAGCTATGGGAAATAATTGTGAATCATAGACTGCGATGCATTATCTTGTGATATTAATGGTTAAGTTCCGTGAATTAAATTGTAGTTTACTATTTATTATGTTTATAAAATGTATAAACAATTGTTATTCTTTAGAAGTTTTTAATTCGTGATGATTTACAAGCTACAAATGCTTTAATTTGCCAAAATCAAAATTAAAAAGGCACAGCACACGTAAAATATCTTATTATTATCAGCCTCAACAATTGTTGAAACAATTTTCCAATAACTAAAATTACGATGATGACGGAAGCGTGTCAGTTTTAAAAAGAATCATGACACAAGTGTTAAAAACCTTCGTGTTTAAAAATTGCTGATAAATTGTCCTAAAATATGATGAAAGAAAGTATTTAAAGAAATATTTTTGTATTTCCAAATTAAGAATTGGATTCTATTATTAGTGATTGAATTGTGGGTTAAGCAACGATGTGATAATTTTTTGACTTTCATGCTGAATTTTGTTTATTTATCTAAAGGGTCACAAACAAATAAGTTTTAGTTTCAATCTTAAGTCAATGACCAAAAAAAGATTTTTTGGTTTTTATAAACATCTAAAAACAAGTCGATTAGCTTTCAAATGAATTTTATTCAAATATAAGAATTTTTACGTCGCATTTTGAATTTTATTCCCCAATTTTTGTTTCTAATGCGATAATGATCAGTTCTCGATGCATTGGTATTTAAAACATTTTTCATCTTTCGCTTATCATTAATATCAAATCAATATGCAAATTGAGGATTAAGTGTGACAGTTTGAAAAACGTTTAAATATCGGGTGAATATTAATATCAACAACTTGTTATTTCGTCTTAAAAGAAAGAGAGAATCTTCAAAGGAAATGTAATATTTGACAACAAAATTTGCAATTTCCATGTCACATCTAATTCAATGAAATAAACAACCAAAATTCATCAAATGAAAAAAGATAAGAAAATGCTCAATCACACGATTTCCCTATTTTATTTACACTGTTTCACATGTTTTTCGTGCACAAAAAAGAAAAGAAAAGCAAAATATAAATAAGAATTTATTTTTGTATCTTTTTATCTCAAAAATAAACAGAATTTTTCTTTAATTTTTTCTCACGAGAGTCTCTGTGAGCAATTCAATCAAATGAAGATTTTCTTCCCCGAAAAGAAAAGAAAATGCTAATAGGAATGATAATGTTGATGTAGATGGTTGAGACGCATTTTTAAAGTTGAATGTGAACAAATTTATAATTAAAAGAAAAAATGAAAATTTAATAGCAATTTTAAATTTAAAATTTTTAAATCCTTAAATCTAAGGGGATTGTCAACTATAAATTTGCATATATTGCAACAAAATTTAGCTTAATTCACGATAATTATAGAAATAAGTACTTTATATCTAGATATAAATAGTCAAAAACTATTGTTCTAATGTAAAGAATACTCCTGAATCGTAGCATAACTAAGGAAACATTTGTCTAGTGTAAATACTACAAAAATTAGAATTTTTGAATAGAAAAAATTGAAATCTGACTTACAAAAGATTTAATTCAACTTGATCAAAGAAAAAAGAAAAAAATCTTATCTTAATTTTAAAGAAACCCTTACCAAAACGTCATTGTCTACCCACATAAATCCAGACATCTTCAGACCAGCCTAGATTGCAAATTTCCAATCAATACAAAACGACCACACCAAATCATGCATCTGGTAAAAATTGCGCCAAAATAAAAAAGATTTTTCTTTAAACTGAAAAAAGCAAGGCAATTTTTTGCGGTCAAAAATTTTCAACTCAGTCTTGACGAAATTTTCATTCAATACGGATCGGAAAAACTATAATACAAGTTATATCGTGCGCGGGGTAAAGAAGAAAAAAAAAGAAAATTATTTTTAAAATAGCTTAAAGATATCACAAAAAAGAAATTTTTTATTTTTCATGGAAAATTAATTTTTTCTTTGATTTTGCGAATCAATAGGGGAACAAAAATTATGCAAGTTTTCAATTAATTAGTGAAAAATAATATTCACAATCATACATAAAGGCGTTAATTAAGGAACAAAAAAAAAGTATTTTTAAAGAATTTTTTTCCCACGAATTTGAAAATACGAAGTGAACAGAAAAGAAAATTTTCTTGATACCGATCCAACAGACACACAGTACAGATCAGTAAAAATGAAAATATCGTTATGATGCTGATGATAGAAAAAGAAGATCCTTTATGTGAAAAGAAAGAAAAATAGTCGAATTTTTCAGTGTTTCGTGTTTTTTTTATTTTTTTTTTGTGAGAAAGAGAGAGTCGAGACCTTCAATTTATTCTTGTCAATATCAAAAGCATCAACCATAGACACGAAGTAGAAAAATAAATATAAACGCAAAAAAGAACTTTGAACTAAAATATTTACATAATCTATCATCATGCCACTATATTCGGATATGTATTATAATTATTTAAATTCAGTACCACCGTCGGTGACATCGAGTTATAGCTCGTATAGTTCAACTCCGTCAATTTCTTCAAATTATAGCTCCTATAGTACTGCATCATCTTCATATTCGTTATCATCGCCTTCATATTCTACACCTTCTTATTCTTCCCCATCATATTCATCACCAAGTTACTCATCGTTGCCTTATACCCCAACAATACGAAGTGGTGTTTCACGTTTCATGCCAAAATTAACAACAATCTCGGAAGCACCATTATCAAAACATCGAATAGCTGCTTTATCTCGTATGGCTGCCTCACATAATACGACATCAAAGTATATCCCACCAAGACCAAGACGAATGGATACATCTGATATTGATGTATCAGCAAGTCGATTTGTTAATCGTCGAATCAGTGAGGCTAAGCCAGTCGTTGATATACCAATTGCAGAGGAATCAACTCCAACACAGAAAGAAGAAAATAACGAAGAACCTCCGATAGCTAGAACAACAATTAGACGAGATAGAGGTTTAGTCAGATTACGTACTGTACGAATCACACCTGACACAAAGCCAATTGAACCACCAAAAAAGCCAAAACTTGAACAAAGTGACATTGATCCAGGATATGGATCAAGTGAACGATCAAGTGGCTCGTGGCGTAAGAAATTTGAAAATGAACTAGATTTACATGATAAGCCATTATCTCCAACATCAAAAAGTCTCGGTGAGAGCTTTCTTGAAAAATATACAATAAAAGAACCTCCAGTACCGGATGTTAAAGTTTTTTTGACACTTGATGATGTGCCTTATGAGCAACGTGATTTTATTAGACGAAAAAGTGCCACGAAATTGCCAACATTTAAGGAAATTTGTTCAGATATCTCATCTGATAAATTAACAGATGATCTGAATGCAGGAGACTTGAGACGTCGAGCATCTCTAATTATTGAGGAAGAGATGCATAATTTTACAAATAAAGAATCAACAAATTTGGAATTGCAAAAGACTAACGAGGATGAAAATGCCAATAAAAATAAAAGTGATGTTGATGGTGACGATGAAAATGAGACTGAACCAAAGCACAAGAATCGAAAGATAAAGAAGAAACAAAGAGCAACATCAAAGACATTGTTGAGTGAAATAGCTGAAAAAGTTGATGAAACGAAAGAGACTGCAATGGATGTGAAAAGTCCTAACGAGACAGAAATTGAATTATGTACATTTAAAGTGCCACTCCGTAAGAAAAAGAAAGTGACAGATGTAAAAACTCCTACCTGTGATTTAAATTCAACAGATATGTCAACGGCATCACACACACAAACGCCCACAGAATTAATGACGTTGAATGAGAATGAAAATGAAAGAAAAATTGCGGAAATTCATGCAATAAAGCAAAAGCAGCCTGAAAGTCTCATTAATATTAAATCTAAACAGCAGCAGCAGCAGAAGCAACATTCTTCTGACCTCGATACAAAATTATTAATAGCAAAAAATGCAAATGATGCTCATTCTAGTCCCGGTGAAGAGCAGGTTATGAAAAATCAAAAGAGTTCAGTGAATCTAAAAACTTCAATGAAGTCAGATGTAAAATTGCCGGGGAAAATGTATCCCCTGAAGCGAGAGCCAAGTGCTGATGATTTTTGGGGTATGATAGGCTCACGTGAGACAACAGTATTTGCAAAACGTAAGCAACAAGTGATTGAGGAACAACAACAGAAAATCATTGAAGTAGCATGGACTCCGGAATGCGATGAAGAAAATGAGGAAAATTCATCACCTGAAAAAGTCAACAACCTAAAATTAGATCAAAAAACAAGTGAAAGTAATAGACTCAAAGATACATCAACATCATCACAGTCGTCATTATTAAAAGTTACAGTTGACACAAAAAGTTATGAAAATATTGTAAGCGTGGGCACAAAGAAAATATCTGCAGTTGTGAATGAAAATGAAGGAAAAAGTAAATTGCAGATGGAAAATGATAAGAAGGTTGAGCCACAAAAGAAGCTTGAGGCAGAAACAAAACTTTTTGGTAATGCAGTCAAATCTGTAGCCATGAAAACCGTCGAAAAAATGATTGAAGTAAAATCATCAAATGTTAAAATTGAAAAGGATATAATGAGCCTGAAGCATAAAGGATCAATGGATCTGAAGGATGCAAATAAGCCTGTTGAATCTTTGGATAGTTCAAAGAAGCTTGAAAGTGAAAAATTACTTCAAAAGAAACCTGAAGTGCCTTTAAAGTCAGAAAAAGAACTTGATAAGCAGCAACAATCACCAAAGAAACTTGAGTCCAGCAACCAGAAGGAAGCACAAATTAAGAAATTTGATATAAAGCTTAATAAGAAGCCTGAAGTGGTCGATAAAGCAAAAAGTTCAGAAGAATCTGAAAAGGAATCAGAGAAGAAGAAGCCCGAAGTGAGTGGAAAGAAAATGAATGAAAAGGAACTGGAAACCAAGAAGACTGAAGTATTCAATGAAATTGAATTAAAGGGAAAGAAAATTGAAAAAAACTTGAATGAAAATGTAGTAAAAATTGCTGACGCATTAAAAAGCAAGGAAATTGAGCAGCCTAAAATGAAACTCGGAACTACTCAACCATTCAATGAGAAATTAATCAAAACTGAGGTTGAAAAACCTGTCGTACCTCCGAAAGTTGATGAAAAACCGAAAACACCTACAAAGATCGAACCAAAAGTATTGGAAACTAAGAAGTCACCAATAAAAGTAATTCAGAAGACAAAGTCGGATGGGGTGTCAAAAATAGGAACTAAGCTTACTCTTCCAGAAGCTGAGAAGAAAGTTGAACTTCCAAAAGCAGTCGAAATACAAAAGGTTGAAGAAACATTAAAACCAAATGAATCTATTCAGCCAAAACCACTGGAACCAAAGAAATCTCCAACGAAAAAACCTGAAATTGAAACGTTAGACACAAAGAAGATAGAGGAACAGATAACAGAAGCTAAGAAGACGGCACCAAAAACATTAGAAAAAGCTATAGAGACTCCAAACGCTATAGAACTTATCAAAATATCAGATCAACCCAATCCATTGGAACCCCCAAAACCAGCCGTCACCAAAAAATTATATGGAAAATCCGCCTCGTCAGCAACAGACAAGAAAACAGAAATTAAGACACTAGGAAATAAAAACACGAGTGACAATAAATCACTAACGTCTAAGGACGGCGTCAAATCAGCTGCCGCAGAAACATCAAATCTTATTGTAGATAAAAAATTGTCACCAAAGAGAGACACCAAATCATTAATTAATCAATCCACGAGTGTGAATGACCAAGAGAAAAAATCTCAAGCAACAATAAATGACGATGGCATTGAAAGTAAGAAGAAGAAGCAAATCGAAGAAGTTCTCAATGAAAATCAAACGATTGAATTAAATTCGACGACATCTAACAACAATAAAATATCACCGACAAGTTTAAGTAAGAAAAGTTTTGGCACGTTATCGAAATTCCCGACGTTAAATAATTTAAATAGCATTGCAATGAATGATGCAGTAGAAGATAATAAAACAACAAATGACAACAATCAATCAATCGCGAGTGAACAATTGAATGAATCGGAGCAGCAAGAGAAAATTAGTATCGCGTTAGAACCTTCGCAGTTAACAGCTTCTGAGCAACAGAATCAAACGAAAGAACCACAGGAGAGTGAATCCGAGGAAGAAGAATCGTCGTACGAGGAAGAGAGTAGTGAGGAAGAAGAAGATATGGGGAAGAAAGACTTTGATCCACAAAAGAAAGTCAAAATAGACTTTACGAGTATGCAAAAGTTCTTCAAGACGGATGAGAAAATAAACATAAAACTCGTCGCACGTCCTCGACCTTTGTGGAAAATTAAAAGAAATCGACACGCGAAATTTAGCTCGTCAGAATCCGAATCTGATGATGAGGAAGTTGAAGAAATTTGTGGCGGTGATTCGGCAACAGGTGGAAGTCAAAGTAGTACAAATAGTGAAAAAGTTGTGAAGCAAGTGCGTAAAAATAAATCAAGTGGAAATGAAATTTCGACAGAAAATATTGTCGCACTTATGGAAAATCTTAATCTTAATGAGGAAAATGAGGATAATGATAATGCCAGCGAAGATGCTGGAAAGAAAAAACAAACTCGCTTTAGTACAAGTAGTCATGACTCAGGATATAGTTCGATAGGTGCTACTGCAGCTAAAAGTCCTCGAAAGGCTTTAGGTGAGTGGAAATTTTTCAGTAAACAACGATGAGCAGCTGACTTGTTCAATCGACAACAACTTCAGATTTTAATCGACAATTATTTTTGCTCCGATATTTTTTATTTTATTTCTTAATTGATTCGCGACGATTTCTTAATGATGACGATGAAAATCTTATTGAACTTGACACTAATTATTTATAGCTGCTAGTTACTATAGTTAATTTTATTAATAGACATCCAAAAACAAGTTTGAGGATGAATATTTTTCAGGATTATAATTATTATAGCTAGTTTGTTGGATTATTAAACTTAGTAAACTTTAAGCTTGACTTTTACACACAATAAGTATCTTTGATACCTTCCATCTCATCTTTCCATTCTTAAATACATTGTTATCGATAGAACAAGACTCGCTTCAACGAGCAAAACCGCTAGTTCCACCAATAATTGAATAACAAGATGATTAGCATTTAAAGCAAAAAAGTTCGAACGGAGCTCTTTGAAATAGTAAATAACAAATTACGATTAATATTACTTATCCGATGAATAGCAAATCGAGCACATGATAAACTATATCTTGAATTTATATTTATTTGATTAAGCAATTTTACGATGAATTGTTGGATCACTGAAGTTTCTCTAATCGTAATATTCATATATAACAATGAATTGCACGTAGTGCGAATTTACAAGCTGGTGCTAATTGAGAAGATGACATGGCATTTTACAAAATATGCATGGAACTCGTTCATGCAAAAGAAACAAATGATTAAATAATCTGTGAACTTTCTTTATGTCACTTGGGGAATTTGGATGTTTTGTATTGAAGATTTTGCAATTTAACACCTGCGATTATTGTTTTGGAATTGGGACATGGATTGTGTGGCTAGATTGAATTATTTTTCAACAATATTGACCAAAGCATTTGATGGATTTTGGGATACAAAAGATTACAAAATTAAGAAAATTTAAAGAATTCCAAGCAGTAAAAAATCACATTCAGAATTAATATTGTGGCGTCTACTTTCCTTAGTAAATTGCACATTTTAAACATTAAACTCTCTCAAATTAATTAAAATATAAAGCATGTGTTGACTCTCTTCTTTCAAAATATTTTAAATCTTTGTGAAAAACAAATCTTTTCTCGTGCCGATGGAAATCAATTAGTGAATTACCAAGGAGAAGAAAAAATAATAATTAAATTGAAGAAGATGATGAAGTATCTCATGTACTATTCGCACTTAAAATTCACTTCTTTATTAGCTCACAAATGCTCTTCGATCTGATTTGAAAATATATTTGAGGCAAAAATTAATGTAATTTATTTTATCGTTAATCGAGTCTGAAGCGGCAGTCATTTAGGTTTTATTAACTTAAAGACTGGAACATGTGATAAAAAATGATTGCATAACATTCTTAAGTCCAGAGTTTTGGTTCACGTGAAGATTTTATTGCTTAATTATTTAAAAGAGTTTTACCGCAAATGGTCTGGATTCCTTTTGAAAATTACCATTTAAATGACATTTTCAGATGAAAGAACACCATGCAAGGCGGTGATTATGCAAATTTTTTGATAAATTTCTAGCTTTTTGAAGTAGCTTTGCATTGAAATATTTCTAAAATTTCTACAAACATGTGTTAATCATCATGTAAACTCTCAAAGGATGCCCAAACCACCTGCAATTATTTAATTTTCTTGAAATATTAAAATCACTCAATTTTTAAGTGTCTATAAAGTTTGCTGTATTTTTGATATTAGCTTTCAATCTATTTATATATTAAGTAGCTAAATTTCCTTGAATAAATTTACAAACGTTATTGGTCTGCCTAGAAATTGCAAAGGGGAATAGCCTGACAAGGATAAGAAGAAATGCACGGCAATGCTATGAATAATTTGCCAATAAATCTATCAGAATTATAAAGATTAGAATTTCTTATAAATTTCAGTTTAAAAATCACATTCGAAAATTAAGTTAATAATTTATGGAGCTTTTAATTTTAAATCCTAAACAGATAAGATTTCTCATGTCCATAAATATTAACTTGCTCCATAAAACTCGCTAATTATCACATTAATTCAAAAAGTCATGTCATAATTTTTCATTCATAACATTTATATCCAACAAGTGTGTCAGATGAAATGAAGCCAAAAACACAAATGTCACGATTGATTTGCGTAAGTTGAAGTCTATAAATTCCACAATTTGATGGTTCTAATTTTTTTTTCACCACCAAGAAAATAAACGAAATATTCTAGCATTTATAGCTACCGCTCCTAATATTTCTTCTCATTTCCTTTATGGTGATCCACATTTAAATGTCTTAATTTGAATTTAGCTGTCTCTTGATTATTTTTGCTTTGATTCTGGAGATTTTTCCAATTTTTTCAAGAAGCGAAAATCGATAAAAATTTATGGGAATTGCCAAAAAAAATCCACATAGATCAATAAACAATTGTGGCTGAATAATATTGGATGCGCATTAAAGATTAAGTTGTAGGCCAGTCAAAGCTTACATTACTTCAAACATTAGTTAAATAATGTCTAATTGCTTCCTATTGTAGACTAGGCTCTTGCCTTTACAAGTGACTAGGTTTTTTGTCTAGCTCAGTTTTTGGCAAAAAAAAAGCAAGCTCTAAAGTCTTAAATTGATTGAATGAAATTCTCAATTCCTTTCTAACATCCTTTTCCAAAAAAATCCATCCATTATTCCTTAACAAAAAAAAAACTTTAATGGACGTAGTTTGAATAAATTCAAGCTATCTTAAGTAATATGCTTGCTCAAAATTCATTCCATAAATTCCAAACTGTTATCAGAATTTTTTATGCAGAATGCCATCATTTAAAATTTTAATGAAATGCATCGGCATTTAAATTTTCATTTTACGAGTTAAATTAGAAATTAATGTGGCACAAAAATAAATTACAATAAAATTGTTCCTCCCCGTAATGTCATTAAAGTAAATTTATATATCTGTTCCTTCACCTGAAGACGAAAAAAGACAGCATGTGATTTCTTTGCGAATGAAAAAAGAGGAAAAAAATTTATTTTTCAAGCTTAATTTCTTCTCAAGTCAAAGGAACTGAATGAGAGAAATTATATAATTAGAAGTGCTCTTTCTCTCGCTATTATTGCCGCATGACGTGATGTACTTTTATTTTAAAAATTTCCTCTCTTGTGAAAAACTCTCAGACGGTGAAAACACGAGAAGTCTGAAAGGCCATGCCAAGATGCATCTTTTTTGAGATTTATTTTTAAATTATATATTTTTGTATAATGCGACATTCTTTTATTATAAATTGATGATTATAGATAGAGTCATCGCCTTATTTCCAAAAAAATTCTTTCAAAATGCAAAATTTATTTTTATTGAATTTTTATTTAAATTTTTTGTGTCTCAAAAGTCATCGAGGATGATCGACAAAAAAAAAAGAAAATATATCCAGAATGACAATAAATTTATAGTTTTATAGAATCAGAGACAATTTTGCGCGCCTGAATTAGTTTCTCACGTAACTTCAGGAGATTTGGAGCAGTCGCAACATTTGCATGCCGTTTAACCTTTTCATTTTTCATTTGATCGCGATGACGATAAAGCTTACGGCCAATTTCAATCAACGTTTCTGTATTTTGTATCAGCTGTTTATGTCGATTGTGCTCTTCGTGAATTCTTTTCTGACGATTTTCTCTTTCATGATTTATCTGTTGCTGTAGTTTTACTATTGATGCTCGCAGCTAGTGGAAACAAAATGTAAAGTCAAATGAGAAGTTTTTCATACAAAGTTTAGAGATCAAAGGGATATTTCTTTGGGTTTTGAGAATTTTGGAGCTGTTTCAAAATTATTAAGTGGAATTTAATGTTATAGAATTGTTTTCTCATTCTAATTATGATGTGAATAGCTTTAAAAGCTGAAGAGCTACAATCTTAAGTTGCCAAGATACTCTTTACAATACATGGTTTAAGAATCAATTCCAAAATCAATTCCTGGATTTAGCTAAAAACTTAAAAAGTATTCAAAAAATTCAGTTCTTCTCGAACTTAATAATAACTTGAGATTTAGATGAAGATTTGCCATTAAAAATAAACATTTCGAAACCTTCAATGATAAAACTGCATGAGAAGCGCCTTAGATTCTCTAAGGAAAACCTCTTAATTATCATTCCTTCCAATCTTCAAAACAAACGTTTTTAATAGACTTTTAAAATTAGATTCATTCAAGAAAAATCACAGAAATTCTGATTTAGATTTCCATTCAGAAGCTCAACAAGGCATTTAAATAATAATAAAAAGTCTAAAGTCTAAAGTCTAAAGAAATTGAAAATGTCAAGTAGCTTAAACAACTTAGAGATTCAAAAAAAATTCATGAGAAAATCTGCTTACATACCTCATCTATTGACATTTTCAGGCATTCATTTGACGATTTTCCCTTCAGATTTTTTCTCTTTTCTAGAATTTTTATCTTTTGAATTAATTTAATTTTTCTCTCCATCTCTGTCTTCTTTATTGCCTCAATTTCATGCTGTAATTTTTCGTGAATCTTCTTGACTTCATCAGCATTAATTTTTTTCTTGAAAATCACATCGAATTTCTTCCGTTTTAGAATTAATCGATTCAAATGAGTTTTTCGTACAATGACTTTAGACTTTGACACACTTCTCTCAAATTCCTCATTCATTAGATTCCGCAAATGCCTTTTCTCCCTTTTTAGCTCATTTGCTGCTTTTTGTTTGCATTTAATTGCGTCTATTTTTGCAATTTTCGCTTCTTCATTGCTAATCATGCCCAGCAAATGACGACGCTCAATCTCATTTACTTCTTCATCGTGTGCCATTTTAATGATTTTCTTGACATTTGACTCGAACGTAAACGGATTGTTACCACCGGCAATAATTTTCTCCACAATTGCATCATTAAATTTCATTTTCTTTGTCATGATTGCGCCAGTTCTTAATACTGATGCAACATTCTTCCTGCATTTGATTGCTCTTTGTTTCTTATTAATTTGTAATGACTTCTCGTTGTTACTTTCGGAATTGAAGCTTTTTATTTTATGGATTTCTGTACATATTGATGAATTAATTGATTCACAGTCGGTTAATGAGAAATTTTTCAATCTAGCCTTTAAATGTTCAATCTATATGAAATGATTTTAATTGCATAAATTAGTTTATTAACTTTTATTTTAATTAATAGGAGGAGTAAGTTGTTGATGTGTAGATAAGGCGCAGTTTTTGGAATCGAATGGTGTAATTCAAGGAGATTTGGAATTAGAACTACCAGATTTTGATTATGATAGTTGTTGTACATTTAGCTGAATTTAAATAGACACAACTCAACACGTGCTCTGCTTATTTAAAATTCCTTGAAGAGCTTTGAACTTAAATCTACAAAACTCAGGAAATTAAAGAAGTTTTCATCTAAATGAAACATACTTTAACATAGTTGAGGCCTAAAGGCAATCCTTACAACACAGTAGCTAAATCAGTCTCACTCAAAACCCTCTCAACAAGCCATTTCAACACTAAAACATTTACACATAAAATCATGCTAAGTAAAGAAACTCACTCACCTCTTTTAGTCGATCATTAATTACTTCATTTGCACAGTTGGATGCAAAATTATTATTATTCATAAGTATTTTAATTGCACTTGCATCGACGACAGCTAGCAATGCTTGAATAGTTTCAATGTTTGCAAAATGAAATTGCATTGAATTAAGGATCGTTGAACTTGAAGTCTTAGACAAGTAATTTAGTAAGAGAACTAAGTGTACAATTATCGATGGTGTTGCTTCCAAAGAAAATGATTTTAATAAGTTTTCTAAGAAATGGCAATTCTGGTGAATGTCCTTGAAGAATTTGTGCTTTGATATTTTCAAGGAAATTAAAACATTTGTGAATGAGTTGAGAAACTGCTTGATTTCATCATTTGGTGAATTTCCAATGCTTGCCAAACTATTTACAGGCACTCGTGCTGATTTTACAATATCCATAATGAATCAAACTCGAAATTGTATCGTTTAAATTAATTAAAATGCAGAGAAAAAAAATAATAACAATGGCCAACTGTGGATTCACATAAAATTGATGTCTATGGTCTATGGTGTTATAAAAAAATATCGCACAATAAATGCAATAAACGTGTGGCTGTAAATTTTGTTTTCGTGACAATGAAAAATTTGATGACTTTCGTTAGATGCTTGTCAGGAAACTATGATTAGACCTTCGATTGTATTCTTCTTCTAGATTTTATGAATGACTTCAAGAAGCCAAATGCCTTGATGACACTCCTTGTCGTTTTATAAGCCTTATCAGCAATACTAAGTGCTTTGAAATCCTTAAAACTTTAAAATGTTAATGCAAGATGATTCAGAATTATATCGGCTAATTAAAATATTTAATGCTGATTACTTCTGATGTGTAGAACAAATAGATACAGCAGATAGGATGGTTCTTTCAATAAAATAGCAATTAATTTAATAGATCAATAAATTTTATGTTGAATTTTTTAAAATTCCTATACTATTCGATTTAATTTAATTAGTTTTGGATGCAATTAAAGATTTCTATGGTAGACGTGCTTAAGGAGATGATACAAACTCTGTGATAGTTACGAAAATAGAGGAGGTTTAGAAGTAAAACTTAGAATTATTACAATTTGTAATTAAACTGGTTCAAATTAGATTGACAATCGAATATTCAACATTAGGGCTTAAACCACAAAGTCTCACTCTTCTTCAAAGTTCCGTCTTAACTTCCTTAAAGCTTCACAGTTTTAAAAAAAATCATTCTGAAAACATCAGAGAATACAGCAATAAAAAATTTACATCAACAATACATCAACGCATTAAAAGCTACAAAAAGCCATAAACCAATAATTAAATTCATTTATTAAACTTCCTGCTGTAAATGATGAGCGTTAAATTAGAAAAAAAAAATCTAATCAAATTATTCTGTGCCTTAATGAATTGAGATCATTATAGAACATGCTGAGGGGAGTTTTATGTGGCATTTTTAAGGTAATGGAGGATTTTGGGATGAAATAAGATGAGGGAAAAATTAGTTGAATCTAGTTGAGATGATTTATCATTTTACATGCCGAAAATTCAGAATCTTCATTATTAAAATAAAACAATTTAAATCTTACAGATTAAATCCAACTGCTTTCCATTCAACAGTCATGAAATATCCACCCAAAAAATATAATTCGCTAGATTTTATCAACTTTTATTTAAAAATTGCAATTTTTCACACCAAAAAAAATCACATCAAAGCCACTTTCATCATCATCCGCGAGTCAAAAGCCCCGACTAGAGTATTAAAAACTTATATGGCAAATTGTATGCAAATGTTAATTAATGTCACATTCCCATGACACATCCGAATACAATTTTTAAAATAAAAAATTTAATCTAATAAAGCAAAATTCCTTTGATGTGCAGAAACTAGATGGTGGATATACAATACAAACATATATCCGCAAAAACACACAAAGTAATAAAAATTTATAACAAATTTACATAAGTTTATGGCCAATGTATCACAAAAAAAAACCAACAGAATACAATTTTTCTAGAGCACAAGCTTTAATTCTGCTCTGTTATTTATGAATCATCTTTTATCGTCAAATGAACACTTCTAAGGAATGTAGGCAAAATTAATTTATTAAAAACATTTACGCAAGCTTGAGTGCGTCGTTTGACTCTACAGTCGATTGAGGAAAATAAAAACAGTCTCAGATTCTGTTTTATGACGTAGGACGGAAAAGAAAATGAAAAAAACCGCGTGAAAGAGAAAAAGTTTTAATTGAGAAAATTTATTGGATGACATAAAGTCTGAAAATTATCCAGCTATCATATGTTTTTCATGTTTGTTGTGACTTTATACGTGATTCAATGTGGATAAAGCTTTATTTATGTCAATCATAGCTTTGATCAGCTGTAAAAATGAGAAGAGTTTTAGGAATTGAAAAATTTCGACAAATTATTGTTCTTTGGGCTTTATGGAACTAAATATGGAATTCAATCATATCATGTAGTATAAATGACACCAAAAACCTCCTTTACTATGAATTCATTCCATCCAATTTAAATTCATCGCTATAAAATGCAAGTCTCTTTCTATCCTATAATCACTCAATTTGTTGTTGTAATTTTTGCTGCTTGGCACAAGTCCATTGTGAATTTTATTATAAATTAAGAAAATATAAAACGTGCAAGAATTGCAAATGGCAATTTGCAATAGTCGGCAGAATCTTTGAAGTTTGACATAAAATTAATCGATCAAATTTACTTTAATGATGCTTGAAATGTATGAGGCGATGAGACTCAGTCTAGGCACTTGCTTGCTTCCAAAACAGAAGCTACTTCTACATCAAGAGTGTCAACAGTAATCAATAAATAGATAATTAAAATAGCTCGAAGCTTTAACAAAATTCTTATTAATTAACTGCAGAGGGCGAAGTCGACTCGAAATTTGTATGAAGTCGAGTGAACTCAAGTCGACTTTTCCATACAAAATCCGAGTCGACTTCGCCCTCTGATTAACTGTAATTAAAGTTCAGCTCAAGAATGCGTCTCAATTATACGATGTGTTGTTCTTTTTTATACTCAGGTGCCAATTTATTCATTTCCTTAGCAACGTTGGTTCTTTTGAGAAATTGATATAATATAAATCTCTTCTCAATACACAATAGAGTTTGGTCTTCTTAATTTTTTTTTTGCACTTGTGACTTATTGTAAAGATTTTTATTAGCTAAATTTGAATGAAAAATGTTATTATGTTTATAGATAAATAAGAGATTCGACAGTTAAGCTATAAAATGTTCTACAATATCCAAAACAATTCAGATTTCGTGTAGACGCACACAATATTCTGAATGAAAATATTATTGAGTCATATAATTTTATGGAGTTAAAGAATTCAGAACATTATTCAGTGTTGCTATTAATAAGCTATAAAATTCTTAAATCCTGAAACTTCGAGATATTTTATTCATTAAATTGCATTGGAGATCTCATTTCAAAAGAATATAGTTTATAAAAAGAATTAATGACTTTTTTGCTATTTTTGGTTGAATATTCAGAATTTTTCACGTTTGAGAATATAAATTGAGTATTTTGCTGTATTTTATTTATTGGTGTCATTTAAAATCTGTGCTGAATTAAAATTAGAACTGTTGAATTGAAGATTGAGCTGAATTGGTCAATCAAACACTATATAGAGCTGAATTCAATTGTAAAGTGCTGAATTCTCCTTTAAAATGCTGATTGGCGCTGAATTACACAGCAATATGCTGAATATCGCTGAATTAAAGTTATAAATTGGAACCAAACTTACAAGTTTTAATGTGAATAAGTACCAAAAAGTTCAAATACAGTGTCTTAATACTAAACATTCATCAGATCCTCATCCTTGATTTGTTTACTCCAACAAGATAAATTACAGTACGACTAACCAGCATCTTTATTCTGAATCCATTACCATTCATTATGAATGAATAAATAAAATTGAACACATGCAAAATGATTATTTTATTAGATGCGTGGGAGCTTAATGTCTTATGACCAATAAACGTGTTACTTTTAAATGCATCATAAGACGACAAATGTTCAAACGACAATCTTCGAGCTAGAAATGTCTCATTTGAAATTGAAATTACAGATTGTTATCATTGAAGCTGTTTGGCGATGATGGATGAGTGAGGAAATGTATAAGGTTATTTTGTCCTCAAAAATCTACTTCATACAAATTATTTGCGAATGTTTCTGTACTTTTTGACGTCCATACCAATCATGTGTAAAGGTTGTAATATTATCTGCTTGTAATTGTAACCTAGATTCTTTTAATATACCTCAAAGTGATGCTTAACATATGCTCGAGGCGCCTGGTTCTTTTATTGTTTCTCAAGTTACAATTAATGGCAGTAATACTCAGAATGACCTTGATGGTTATGAACGTGATGACAACAGAGTAAAATGTGTCATTATTGACGCCTTAACACATCTTGAATTGTTAATCATAATTACAGATTGTTTGGGCTTTGTAATAATTAATGACATTATGGGTAATGTGAGGAGATCATTATGTGCTTTGAGATAGTAATTTGTAGACAAAAGTTCTTTTATGATTTCATACCTTTCTTAAAGATATTGAGTGAAATTTGATTCAATTCAGCTTTATTCAGCAGTTTATTAATTCAATTAAGCTTCCATTCGGCTTTATTCAGCACCTTTATATTCAATTCAGCTATATTCAGCACCTTTAGATTTAATTCAGCTTTATTCAGCAACTTATTAATCCAATTAATCTTCTATTCAGCTTTATTGAGTACCTTTAGATTCAATTCAGCACCTTTAGATTCAATTCAGCGCTTTATTCAGCAGCTTAATAATCCAATTAAGCTTCAATTCAGCTTTATTCAGCAATTTATTAATCCAATTAATCTTTATTTCTTCGGCATTCCTCGTCTGAACAATGAAAATTCCTCAAATTCTGATCATCAAATTTAATACAGCCAATATTTTTTCTTCAAAAATTCTATCGACATAAATACAACAAACTAGCTGTCTGACATAAATATCTCACGTAATCGCGTAGACTACAATATTTTACGTCTTAATCCACGATTTTGAGTTTCTCACAGACTGCAACAATTAAAATGTTTTAAGAGTGAAATTGTGAAAATAAAGAAGAAGAAAATCAAATGTCATGAAAAGTCTCAAGAAAAGAAAACAACAATATATTTGTAGATTAATCTCCCACTATTGTTTGCAGCCTTAGACAAATTAGCTTCTGTGTTTGTGTATTTTAATTCAATTTCAGACTTCAATCTTTCCCAATATCAAGGTCATGAATTTCAATAACTTCTTTATAGCCAATATATACAATAGCTTTTGCTATTTTAGAGTAGAAATATTTTTAGCGACATTTATGTTATGTAAAGTAAATCACATTGTCATGTCGCTTATCTTTTGATATAGATGCTTCAGATTTTATTGATAGACATTTATGACAGTCGTGCATGTTTATTTTTTGGATCAAATTATT